TTATTCAATAAGCTTTTTCTCAATGAAAAAAGTCAATACAAATTACTTATTGCAGTACTGCAAAGCAATGATTCCACTACACTGAGGGTATAGAAATACATCCCAAGCGTTGTAGAACAAACCTAAAAAAGTGACCCTTGTGGAAAGGTCATAAATTTAACTTATAAATTTGCCTCTGAGGCTAAAGCACTGAAATTCCACCCTCCGAGAGTCTCTTCTAGAAACCAATCAATCCGCAGCACACCAGCCCCCTCTCAGAGCAAAGCACAGAGCAGCCATATGCCTCCACTGCACAGGAACCAGAGTTTCCATGCATTCCACACTCTTGTCAAAACTCACACAAAGACTCTAACACCTACAGTGAGGAAGTGACCGTTTTATCAGGAAGCTGGACTATACTAATAGACTTACCCACAGGCCAAAGGAGCACCTTCTTCTGAAATCGAACCCTTAGGAACCAACGACAGAGCGCAGACTGACCGTGGTGCTACTCTGCGTAGGCAGAGTCAGCCCTGACCCCCGGAGGGGTCAGGCTGCCAACTCCAGGGCAGGTGACATGTGGGAGCCAGGTGAGGCAAGGCCTCTGGCCCTGGGCTGCAACTGAAGCCCTGCTTCCTTCCCTTCTGAAACCATTCCCCCAACACCCCAGGCAAGACGCAAACCTGCTCTCCTCCTCCTGGTCTCCGCCTCCAGAGGAGCTGTGACTACAGGTGTGTGCCACCACATTGGGCCTATTACATTTTTAATGTTTACTTTAAATATGCATCTGCACACCATAAAATATTTTCATTTAAAAACTAAGAGCAATTAGAGAAATAGTATTGTCACAAAGACCTGGGATATCACCATGCACATATAAAGCAATTCTTGAAGTTCATATGTGTGAGGGTATCAGTGTGTGTCCACATGCACACTAATTTTCATACCAACAGGATACAAGACAGTCAGGCTGCGGTGTTGAATGCTATGTCCAACAATCCAGCGCAAAAACAACTCTTTAAAGCCATCATTTTCTCAAGTAACGTGAACCTGCTTCACCGAGTCCTCGCTAGACACCCACAAGCATAATGACAACAGGGAAAAATCTGAAAGCACTGGTCACACCTTCCCGGCTAAGAAAGGAAAGATGAAGTGTTTTACAAGAAACAGAAAGCAGACGAGAGTGTAAGTTGCTGGATGTGTAACAGCATAAATAGGACTGAGATGTGAAACAGCACAGACGCTCTGCTATGTCTCCAAGAAGAAAAGGAAAGGAAATGGCCATGCAGGCAGGCACTGTGTGGCGGGCACAGCTTTCTACAGGGATAGGGACAGGATGCGATGCACAGAGCCACTGCACCACGCATGCTGCACCCCAGCAGCCTCAAGTGGGGCAGAATGGATGTGGGTGTGAAAGAGTGCGAGTGCGTGTGTGTGTGTGTGTGTGTGTGTGTGTGTGTAAAATGACCACAGGCACTGAGGTACACACGTATGTCATACAGTGTGTGGAGGTACACATATGTGCAGTGCAGGGTGTGTGCATGTAAAAGGGACTGGGGTGCTGAGGTGCACATATGCAGTGCAGGGGGTGTGTGTCTGTGTGTGTATGGGTCTGTATGTATGCACAGGTGCACTCTCAGAAGCTGAGTGTCTGTCCTAAAGGTGCCGAGCACTTTGTCTACACTGAAACACAGCAGGAAGATGGCCGCTGCAGAGGAGGTTAGAGTGTCTACGAACATAGCACCACTGGACACCCTACTCAGTGACAGCATATCGCCACCTGTCTTCACTATTATTTAATTGGTTTCCCCACACTCATGTATATCTCATTTCAGATTAAATTGTTTAAGCAATTCTAAATTAAGGGCCCTCAGTTTAGAAACTTACACTTAGTTTTCCGCAAGACAGCAAAATATCAAACATGTATTACCTAACAAATGAAGGAAAGGCGAAATTACCAGACAGTCTTTTCCACAAGGTTCAACCAATCTTTTCTAACTTTTTAATGCAAACAAATACAACTCACTTCTAAATGATGAATTGCACATTCTGAAAATGCATTTTATCAAAATTACAATCTCTCCCCAATCTCAGTACAATATAAAATGACATTCTTGTCAGTTCTTGTCATCTTGTTACCCTGCATTAAAACAAGAGTCCTATGGGAGTCAGAGATGCACTAAAAAAAGTTTAAAGCAGCTTAAAAAAAAAAAAAACTGCAAGTTCTCAAAACAATCTGAGGACAACAGGTGCGCACTGAGCTGCTCGTGCCCCACTCAGGGCAGTCGTAGCCTCTGCCCCTTGCCCCACACCAGCCCTGAAGGGTGGGAGCCACTGCTGCTTCTATTTTTCAGATGAGAAAATGGGTGCAGAGGGTAATCAGTGAGCACCTCGCTTACCTAGTGCAATCATTACAGCCCTGACTCAAGTCGCTGCACACAAACACAGTAAGGAAAAGACTATTCAGCTCCTGGTCATAAAGCCACAGTCTGACAGCCTCTAGTAGATACTCTGACCACTCTGTTCCACAAATGAAGCTCCATGGAGGACAAGAACAAACAAGACCTTTCCTGCAGGGTAGCAGCAGGTGCCCAAAGGCGGGTGCTATGCTGATTACGAATCACAGATTTATGCATACCACACACACAGGCTTCTTTCATTGTCAAAACTGCACTTATACAACTGGTAAAAGCAGAAGTGTGCCTGTTCAAGGACCACATAAGAAAATAATCCTATCACACTGCATTCCAAGATTGGCCTGATACCGGCAATCTGACTACATCACTCTATTGTTAGTCTCTGATGGTGGTCTTACGAAATCAGGTTTCACGAACTGTCACAGGCTTCTCATTGCTCACCAGCGCGCTGACCTAACTCGATCTAGTGTGACACGAGAGCCGTTACCATCACATCAGGCTACCAAGCCCAGAGCACTGCATTTAGGATTAGGCCAGCCTTCCTTTACCAGCTCAGCTGACAGCTGCTGTCTAAACTGAGGTTTAAAAAAAGAAAAGCACAGCTTTACAGAAACAGTAATCCATCTCCAGTTAACACACTAGTGGACAGTAATGAACAGACTGCTGGGAACCCAAGGATGTGGACAGAGCAGTGGGGGGTCTGGCTGCTGCTGCCAGCCCACGTGGGACAAGGGCAGGAAGGCACTGCACTGGTCATGCACACAAACCTCGTCTGTTTTGGACCCCTGGCACATGACAAGGCTCAGCCTCCCCGCACCCAGGTGACAGCCACAGGTGCATACACTGCTCCTGCTCCAGCCGGGGCCTAGGGCAGCCCCAGCTCCTTCTGGCATAAAGCTGGGTGAGAGTTACTGGCTTCCTCGGAGACACCCAAGGAGTACACAGCGCAGAACACAGAGGTGCTCAGCTAAGTGTCTGCCCCGTGCCAGCATGAACACTGCCGGAACCCCATCTCCATGGGCAGGGTGAGCCATGGAGAGTTAGTGCTGAGACTGTGTCAGTGAACATCAGGAATAGGCATCCCAGACGTCTACACATCACATCTGTACATCCATTCTACCGACAGTTTCTAATGATCCTAAAAGGAAGTTATTTTAGCTGGATGCAGTGGAATATGCCTATAGCTCCAGTTACTTTGAAAGGCTGAGGCAGGAGGATCTCAGTTCAAGGCAAGGATGAGCAAGAAATTTACCAAGACCTTATTTCTTTCAAAGATCTACGACTGGCTATGATTTCTGAGACTAGGTTCTAAATAATCCACTTGTAGCTAGGAGAGGGACAGAAGATACAACGTAACTGGCCAGGAGCTGGATGATGAGCACAAGCAGAGACCTAGTCAGTCTCTACAACATTAGTTTTCCACAAGGAGTTGAGTAACAATTTGGAAGGGAAAAAACTCATTTGTAGCTGCCTGAAAAAATTTTAAACAAATTTTAAACACGCACAAAGATGTAAATACAAGTCTCTGAATACATGCAAATCCATCACACAAAACTGGTTAGTGTGTTCAAAATGTGCAGCCAAGCCAGGGACACAGCCAAGCCAGGGACGCAGCCAGGTGGCACAGCGCCTGCCAGGCAAGCGCGAGGTCCTGAGTTCAATTCCTGATACCAAAAAAAAAGGCCACACCAGACCTCTTCCACAGGGGTTTCTCTGTACATCCTGTGTTTTCTGAGAAAGAACATCTCTCTCTGGACGACTGAGTGCACTTCTCACGTCTAGTTTGGAAGGCGCATCTTTCCCTCACCCTACATTTCCACCCTCTGTGCAAATCTATGTTCCCGCAGGTACTTTAGCTTGCTAGTGGCTGATGTCATTTTCCTTTTTTCTGTTTCTACCTCTCTCAATAGATGGTGGACTCTTAGGGGTAGAAGATATATTTCATTTATTCAATACACATTCCCTGGAACAGGCCTGGAAGGGAGCAGTTATGTAGGAAATGCTTTGAACAGGAAGCAAAATCCACAGAAGAGGTAATGACACACACAGCACATTCAGTAAGTTGGTTTATGAATTTTACATCGTCTGTCCATGTGTTCATCACACTCTTAAAAACTCAGCTGTCACTTTTTATGAATTTTATTTATCTTAAAGGAATGTGAGTACAATTTTAAAAAAGAAACTATACCCAAAGAGATATGGGCAGTTTGTCTTCCTATTTTTGAAAGCACTACTGACGACAATATACCACTTACACACCCTATGTCCACACCTCATCAAGCGTGGATGTTCATCCTGCTGGAAACATTATGTAGTATTTCATATTTCCTGATGATAAAATGACAAATACTCCCAATATGCAACAGTATCTCTAACCCACACTTAACGGATAAAGATAATGTGAACTTATCAAGGAAGGACTGAACACTCCTATTTTACAACAGGAAACAGCTAAAATGATTCACATGTCCAAACCAAGAAGAGTAAATTAACACAAAAACAAAGTAATGCTGACTTAGCCAACCGTTGCTAATACTTGTTTGATACTTTAAGGAAATTTAGTCACTGCATTATACATTGTACAAACAGAAAAGAAACACCTACTAGTATAAAACTTCGTTTGCTTCATGTCTTTCATATCTCACAGTTTCACACATTAATCTGCAAAACAGAGAAAGAAATGAGTTAAGCAGCTGAGTAAAAAAGACTTTAAAAAGTTAAGTCATGTAGTCTTAAAAGTTAAGACTATTTAAACAGCGCATTACAATCACGTGTTTAGCCTAAAGATATACATATTATTCATACCTGTGTTAACAAAATTAAAATGCAAAAATACACTAAAAAGGAAACATCTAGTAAGATGTCAGCTTTGTCATCCTATTTGGCAGTATGAATTTTATACTTTGATAACAGCATGTGACTAAATTAACGTTCCCTATGGTAAAAAGAAAATGAGAGGGAACCTTAAAGCTGGAAAGAAAAACTTATTAATTTAAAAAGTGATAACACTATTCACAGCTCAGTATTAGCAATACTTACCAGTGAGGAGTTTTAGACAAAAGCACACTTTTACTAACTGAGTATTTTTATGACAATGACTAAATGCAAGCCTCGGATTTGTTACTGCAGCTGATTCATCCAGAAGGAAAAAACTGTGAAATTATGAAACCCTGAATAATATTCAAATATTCAAAATTGTATCAAAAACAGCATCATACTGCACAAGTCACGATTACCCACACAAACGAAGCCACTCAGAATCACTGCTCCCCGAGAGGCACTCAGGCACAGCACGCTGGCCACTGTAGTGGCTGGCAAGGACAAGTCAAGCACATTCCAGCTTGGACAAAGTCATTGGGGTCCTGACTGCCTTGCGAGCCCCTCCTCCCCACCTGAATCCGGGAGACCCACGTCCTGAGTAGCAGGGCCACCTTCATCCCAGGGAGCTCCGGGTGGGCAGTGTGCTGTGCAATCCGGGCCCTTGCTGCCTCCTTCCTGTCCTAAGCACCTGGGGCCACCCTAAGGCACCACACCAGGGCTGCTCCTGGGTACTACTCCTGAGGTCTCCATATTCAACCTTTCTCAAAACGGGTCTGCCAAAGCTCCCATTCCGGGAGGCAGAGGCAAGTCATGGGTAGACAGCATTGAACAGATTTCTTCAACAAGTGAATCCAGGTCTTCACAGAAAAGGGGGACAGTCACAACGGTAAGGGTCCCTGCTCCTTCCCCTGCCTGTCCCCTGCAGGCTGCCCTCCCTCTCCACTGAGCGGCTTCACCAAGGAAGACATGTAGCTTAGCACCCCAGCCTCCCTCGCTCCCAGAGAATCTCTTTTTAGATAAGCTGTCTACACGCTCCATCTCAGCTCCCACAGCTTCTCCTATCATTTGAGCCATGAAATGCTCCAAAGGCCATCAGCATCCTCCTCGTGGTCTGATCCCTACTGCATTTATGAGCCTTCTCCCCCAAGAACACTCCTTTGCTAGGCTCCCGCCTGGGTCTGCTGGTCTCTACTTTACTCACCAGTCACACTTTCTGTCTCCTCCCACTTCCCCGTTCCAGCCGTCTACCAACCTGCTGGTATTGCTCCAGAAGCCTGCCCCTACCTTCCTCTTCATCCACAGTCTCACTCAGTTTACTACGTCACACTGAATTCACAAACTGATGACACCCAAAGCAATGCCCCAGACCTAAGCTCTCATCAAGATGTAGCCAAGTAAACTCTGCACAACTAACAGCCACCCCACATCTCCACTGTCCAAAGCAAAACTTGAATTTCTTGCCCAAAATCTGCTTTCCCCAAGTCAGCACCCGAGTGCTCAAGCTATCCTGCAGTCATGTGTCATGTATCATGTGTCCATCAGCCTTGTGTCCTGTGTCTTTTTCACATCCATCTTTCTGCCAGCACCTTTTTCCAAAGTTCTTCCCCCAGAACTAATCAGATTCACCACTGTCAAGGCCCCAAAGTCTCATGGGCTCAGAATGGAATTCTGGCAAGACAGCTGGACCATGGCTGACACTGCACTGGTCCACTGGTGGGTTTGTAACTGGATGAAGCCTGGCGGAAGAGGTGGTCACTATGGGCATAGCCTAGAAGGGGCATATAGGAATCCTTCCTTCTTGACAGCTATTCAGGGACCTGCTTCTCCTCTGCCAGCCCTCTGCCATGCCACCTGGCTTGGATAGCCAACTAAAGACTGAAACTTCTACAAACCATGAGCCAGGATAAACCTCTACTCTTCTGACTTGTGAGCATCAGATATTCTGTCCCAGCAATGAGAAAACATCTTAGACCCATCTCTCCTGCTAAGACCTGCATGAGTCATCATTACATGGTCATTATAGGACCCCTGGTGTGGATTTATACTTCCACTTTTGCACAACTGTTGTCCATTCTCCACTTGGCTTCCAGAGAGATTTTTCCAAACTTGAAATCATATCATCTCACACCTTGGTCCCTAACTGCCACAACTCATAGACAATCCAAACTCCTTGATCCTTGAATACAGGTCTTACCTTACTTGCTGCACTGACCACACTACACTTACTTCCTTACCACCCCTCTCCCAGCACAGACAAACCCTGTTCTCAGGACAGAGCAACTGGGACACCTCTACACTGCACAAATTTCTGCACGGCTGCTCCATCTCAAATGTCACCAGATCTGCTCCAAGGTTAGAGCAGCCCAGCACTTGTTCTTAACACACCCTGCCATGATGTCTGAATAAAACGCCCATTTCTGTAAGTCCTGACTGTCCCTCTAGCAGCACAAGCACAGGGAGGGCAGGGTCCAACTTATGTCAACACTGTGTCTACACAATTCTCCTTCAGCATCCAGCACTTGGTAAGCAAGCAACCAATAAACACAAAAGGTTCTATACAAGAAACCAACAACATTCTCAGAAAGTCATGATAAACTGTCTCCTATGACAATGTCTTAAATAATACCAAAAAGTATTTGTCATTAAACATTACCAGCAAATGTTTAACAAAAGGATATTAACCTTCCCTGAATTCCTACAGTAAAATGATCAAGGGTGCCTACAAATCAATGACATTCATCTAGAATGACAACCAAAATAGGTATTTTCAGCAGGGTCTGCTTTTCAATACAAAATATCGCCTCATGAGGATGTAGCTCAGTGGTAGAGAGCTTGCCTGGAATATTAAAAGGCCCTTGGTTCAGTCCTAATGCAAAACCAAACAAACAAACAAAACCCACTAAAAAGCCTCGAGCAATATATAACATATATATATATATATATATATATATATATATATATATATATGTTACATATAACAGCCTTGGTCTCTGCCCACTAACTGTAGCACTCTTCCTACTTGTCAAATACACTGCTCCTATTGCATAAGGATCCTTCAAACTGTGCAGGGAAACAAGAGAAGCAAGAGAAGCTTTCAAGCTTCAGGCTGTGGAGGTGGAGGGTGTGATCTCCAGGGCAGCTCACCAGGAGGAGCTCTGCCTTACCACACCTAGAAGCCAGGGGCTCTGTAGGGCAGGCGACACCCACACAGTGAGTTATAATCCTGACTGAAAGTGCTGGATTCCCAACACTGGAACACTGTATTATAAGAAAATCTTAACTGACTGTTTCCTACTAATTCTGGGTAAAATTTATTCATAAAATTCAAAGAAAATAATGTAAAAGAGTATGTCTATTTTCCAGAAATGGAAGTATGTATTATAAAACGGTTTACCGAAGGCAGTAGGCTGAACTGTACCTCCACTTCTGTTATAATTAACTTGGCATCCTGATCTTATTAGAAAACCAAAAGTTTAAGTTGATGTGTCCATAAATATGACTTTTCAGCACAGGCTGAATGAGATAAACCTCTGGAAGACCTCTCCCTGTAACTCCACACCAGCAAGCAAATCTGTCAACCTCCAAAACAGACTTTCCAAGACTTAAATAGACTACTACACCCTTGAATTGATCAGTTGTTTCTAAACAAAAATTACCTTTGAAATGGCAAAAAAAAAAAGTTGATAATTCTGAAGCTGGTTGATCTTCACTGTATTTCCTTTTTCTATTTTTGTAATTTTGGAAATTTTGAAAAGTATTTAAAGTATTAAAAGTCCTTTACGGCATGGAACCCTTAACATGTAAATTTTACGCCCACACATATTAAACATACACTCAACATATCTCAATTATCCTAGTGTATGGTTTCATACACAGTACACAATGGAGGTATAACCTCTGCATAGAGCTAATTGCATTTGCATTTGAAGACTAGCCGCATCTGATTAAACAAAGTACTAAATCTTAGAAAAAGTTATCATAAAATGAAAAAATTATTCACTTTAATTTGAGCCATTTTCTAAAATCTCAAAGGTTTTGCCCTTTCTAATAAAGCTTGACTGAATTTTTAAACACTTAATCTGCAATCTACTTTAATTTAAATTATTTTCATTTAAAATTTAATTTTAGAAGCACTCAATCCTCCTGATACTTTTTTCAATTAACAATAAAATGTGAAACTGACACGTTCAAAAATTAATTAGTGTTTAAAGAGTACAGGAGAAGTACATAGCACAGGAAAAACATTCCTTTCATAATGAAAAGACTCTGGCACCCAACCGGCCCCAGGTGGAGAAAACCTTCACTCTGCCCTCAGGGGTGCTAATACGTGACCCGGCCAGAGTCCTTCATGTTTTCTATCACAGCCAATCCTGCTATTCTCTATTACAAAGCACAGATAGGTGATAAAAGTTTTACATGAGTGGAGCCCACTGAAACAAGTCCAGGATTAACGTGTTTTTCAGAGAAAGGCAGGCCACTCAATACGGCAGTAAAGGCTACACGGACACCTAAAGCACACTAAAATAATCAACCGAATCACCTCTGTGTAGTGAGAAACCTCCTGGTTGCTAATGTGTCTCAGCACTAATGGTATATTTGTGTTTGCCAAGAAGGTAAACAATGGGTGTGTTCATTAATGCGGGATTTATGACTTTCTGTCAAGGGGAGAAAGCCCTGCAAGAAGGTCAAAGGATATTACCGTAAGACAAACGTGGACAAGTGTGTGAGAACAACTGAGTTCAACTTTTTAAACTTACAGAGCTAGAGAAAGCAGTTTTATAAGTACGTTTTCGTTAAGCCCTCTCAAGGATAATAAAGTGAATAAAGAAATCTCAGCATCCCACCGTTAAATTAAAGTGACATACCGAAGCTGATGCTCTCTCAAGTTGGACAAGGCTTCCATGCCATGCAAATAGGAATATACTATTTCCAGGTCCTGTTTCAAAGAAAAGAATAGACATTACTAACATTGTCAGGGGAAAAAAAATTTCTAAAGTAAATTAAGAATTGTATTGTAGATAGTTTTTTTTTAATACATGTTTTCTCATACATTAAAAGTACATATTGCAAGAAAAGCTGACTTCTACAAATCACAACTGAATTAGGGATGAGCACAAACTTTTTGAGATAATAAATGGACAAATTTTTTTTAAATTACAGTCATAAAGACGCAGCTAATATAAACTGAAATAATATCAGAATTCATAATGTGAAGGAACAGAATGCAGTCAGAGACAAATAAATACCATTCTTTTAAAAAACTACATGGACAAACTTATGAAAATACTTCATACATTACTCTTTATCATCATTTGCCACTTATATCAAAATAGCAAATGCTTTAATTCCAAAACATAGATATGTGCCAATACCATGATTAATCTAATTCTTTCTTAACAAAATTAATGCATGTTATTTCATGACTACACTTAAAAGAATTGAGTATGAAATCAATTTTTTCAAGTCTTACCAAAATGAAATCTTATATATTTAGAAAGTTAAATTTAAAACTTTTCTCTTTAAAAAAAGGAAACATGTTTTGTTTTTCTAGATCATACCAAAATGCATGGAAAAGATTCAAAATTATTCATGAAAGTTATTAGTAGGTAAAAATGCAAAGTCCTGTGCATATTCACATATGACAAGCAATTAGTATCTAGCAAGGAATTAGTATTTTAAGACTCCAATACCTATGATTATACATGAGAATTTAATGAGTAATGAGAATTTAAATGAGCATTTACTCTTCCCTCTAAATCTCAGTCAAAATCTAAAACAAAGGTTTTTAAATACTGGTTAAGTAAATCTCCTTTATAGGTAACCGCATTAAGTGGTTGTTCATGCGCCACACGACGTACCTTTTTAGGGAGACCAGCCATTGGGCTCCTCTACACAGTCACCACAACCCCACATCTTTACCACCCTGGCAAACACTGCCATTCTCCACTTGCTCAGGTCTGTTCATTTTTAAACACTGTTTTGTTCTTTCAGCACATGAGTCACACACATTTCCTGGGCTAAATTGAGTTCTTTTTAAAGAAGAAAAAGTCTCTGCAGCCTTAGAAAAACATTTAAGAACAGTGGCAACTCTATGGGCAACTAAATTTCAATACTAAGGGTGAGGATGATAATAATCCGTGGAACGAGGTAAAGAATTAACTTTTTTAAGATTTGCAGTCTAAATTTTTATTATAGTTTTTAAAATATTATGATATGCTAAGGAAAAGGCCAGATTTATGATTTTAAATCAGCCCTATATAAAATTTATCAGGATTACAATTTAAAATGTCACCGGGAGGGTGACCTGTCAAACCCTGCAGGCCGTGTACTTCATTCGCTTGGGGTGTTTATTAGTCCTAGCAGCTCTCTCAAAGATTATTTAAAGGCTGAAATGTAAAAGGTGTGCTACCGATTCAGGGCAAGTGAGGAAGCCGAGACAAACCCCTTCCCTCCAGCTTCCAGGTAACCCTGGGTGCCGTCCCCACACGAGGCCGCCTCTTCCTCGAAGCAGTGAGACTCCGGTCACAGTGTTCTGCCTGCATTAAGGCAAAGGCAATGAAAAGGCCCTAATTACCAAAAAGTTTTCTTCAGTACGTAAAAATACTTGCCGATCAAAGCACAGCATGGTGGCACAGACCTGTAATCCCATTACTCCAGAGGCTGACAGGAGGATCACCTTGAGTATGAGGCCAGCCTGTACTACATAGAGCAAGACCCTATCTCAAACTGCCCCCTCCACACACATGTAAATAAAAAAATAACCTTTCTGAATAATCCAAAAGTTTTTATTTTAGTCTAAACATTAAATACCATAGGAGGCGTTTATATTCTAATTCTAATACTAAAATCCTACATTTTTTTTCAATGAACTGTGAACGTGTTTAAAAAAAAAAAATCTACCCAAGGTCTACACTGCTTTTACCAAGGCAAACAGATAAGTCTACTCACATTCATCAAGCAAATAAATCCACACTAACCGAAAACTATATACGGAAAAGCATTAGAAAGAAATCTAAAACATGTTAAGATCAATAATTTGGAAAACAATCAAGGAACAAAACAGCTTTAAAGTCTTAGAAGAGAACAGGCCTTGAAACAGAAAATTCTCTCCTACAATAAGACAAGTAAAATCAAAGAAAAAAGGTTGGTTCCTCAATCACATGGCAGTTTATTCATCTACTGCTCTGTCATACTACAGTTTCACAGCTGTAAAAGGGCCATACCCGGTGTGTGTGTCAGCACAGTATCTGCGAACTGAACAATGGTATTAATGTGTAACGTGTCTGCCTATGGATGATAACCACCACCTTAACATTATCATTATTACATTATCACAGCTGGCACACAGCTGTAATCCCAGCACACTGGTAGACTGAGGCAAGAAGATTTCAAGTTCAAGCCCAGACTGGGCAACTGAGAGAGATTCTGTCTCAAAATAAAAAGCTGGGGATGTGGCTCAATGTGATGACATGTGAGAGGGGATATAGCACACACCCAAACAAGCATACATGCATGCACACAGAAGACCATCTGTACCACTAGAACTTGTGAAATGACAATGTTGGCCAGTTAATAAAGTGCAGAGAACAACGCAATATAATTCACTGACATAAGTGAAGTCATCAGGAAGTTGTTGCCAAGCCTGAACCATAAACTGCAAGGTAAGGAGGAAGAAGGCTGTTTTAAAGGCTGCATAGGTAAAATGTGCCCCACATACAATGTTGATTACCTGGAGGGCACTTTTAGACATATGGCGCTCAAAGCAAGCCACGACCAGACCATGCTGCATAACTGATTTGTGCATCATGTAAATATGCTCCTGGTGAGACTATGAACTGCTGAATGAACTCGACCAGGAAGCCCAGTGTTTCTCCTACCACTCAGAAGCCACAACAAAAACAACGGGTTCAGAGGTTCTACTGCGAGAAGAGCAGGCAGTAGGAGAACAGTCAACACAGTTCTACTAAATGGAAGGTGCCACTGTCGGGCTTGACCCGATGACCTCACAGATCTTCCGTGTAAGTGTAAGCTTTCCTCGCTGTCCTTAACATGAGTGAGAAGTAAGTGTAAGGTGGGATCACCACAGACCTGGGTGTAGGAATAGGGCAGACGGGGCTGGGGATTTAGCTCAGCGGCATAAGCATCTGCCTTGTAAGCAGGCAGTCATGAGTTTGATCCCTGGTACCGATAAAAAGGAAAAAGACAAAAAAAAGGAACAGGGCAGACAGAAGATGCTCTGCTCTGCTCTGCAATGCTCTGCAATGCTGAGGAAGGCAAGGAGTCAACCACAGAAGAGTGGAAAAATAAAACTGATGGAAGGAGGCGTATGCAAGCTTGTCTCCAATGAAGAGCCCAGTAGTTTACCAAGAATGAACTGCAAGGAAGGGAAACAGCACCGGGGCACAGGAAGAGGGAGGTGAGGAAAGTGGAAAAAAGCACGTGCTGCCCTCTCTGACTCCTGCCACTGACACCTCCACACTCTCCTGGGGCACTCATCCTGGTCTAAAAACAGAGGAAGCATCTGAACATGGACGTGGGCGCCCAGAGCCTGGAGCCTTCTGCGGGAATGGTCTGTCCACATCTGCATTTCCACAGTACAGACTTCTTGATGGTGCAAGACTTCCAGCAGAAGAGCAAAGAGCCGCATCGTGTGGAGGAGATCCAGGCACGCGAGGCCACCGCCGAGCAGTCCACTCTGCCCTGCCCAGGAGCCGGCACTGAAGTCCTCCTAATCTGCTAGCATTCGTGGCCCAGCAAGGATACGAAGCAGGTGAGTAAGGAGATGCAAGCCAGCCGCTCCTCATACCCACCTGGGATTTGGGGGTTGGGAGGAGTTACACAGCATCCACAGCGACACACAGGCAACACCCAGCCTGGAGGATTAAACCCTTTGGATTCTACTGTTTGCTTCCTCTACATAGAGGAGAAGTATACTCATAGGATTACATTTCAACAACTCTGATACACAGAACAAAATGCTAGAAACCTAAGTCACCTGCAGTATTTCAACTTCTACTTTTTTGTCAAGAAACCCTGGCAAGCAAACAGAAATTTCTAACCTCCCCAACTGTACTTCCAAAGACAAATAAAATTCACACAACTATTACCATTTTAAGGAACTTTTTAAAATGTAAACTATTTTTCCCAAAAAGCTTCTCTAGACTGAGCATAAACAGGAAAATGCTGCTCTACCCAGGAAACAGCACTTTGTAGAACAATAAGCCTTTCCTTCTGCTCTCAGGACATCCTTTATTCAAAAATAGACGGTATTTCAAAGCAGAATAAAGTCATAAAACTACTGTAGCCCTATAAAGGTTGAAAAGCCAAACAAAACGAAGTTTTTCTAATGCAAACGAATCACTCCCATCCTGCCGCTTCTACACCAAAGGTAAAGCAGGTTCAAATCCACTTGGAGTGTGGTGAAGAGCTGGCCCAGCCCTGCAGGCGCTGACCTCTGCTGGGCTCTCACCAGCACAGGCCGCAGGACAGTCAGGGCCACGCACTGGCTCGGAACCTAAGGGATGCCTGGTAAACCTGCAATTCACTAAACACGAGCTCCTCATTTCATCTGCTTTCCGGCATCGAGACTGCAGCATGACTTCTGGGTACAGAGAGGCTGTAACGATGCCCACTTCTCACACATCGAGCCTGTGTCCTTCCAACTTCCACAGCCTCCTTGGCACATTATAAAACAACGGAACAGGGAATTCTTGTGCCCTGCATCATGAGGAAGAACACAGCTTTCCCTTAAAATGGGTGACATATAAGAAACTATTTAGACTACATTTGAAAATAACAGGGCTGGGGATTTAGCTCAGCGGCATAAGTGCCTGCCTTAAAAGCAGGCAGTCATGAGTTCGATCTCTGGTACCAGTAAAGACAAAAAAAGAAAATAACTGGAGGGCTGGGGAAATGGTTCAATGGTAAAGTTCTTGC